CCGCTGCCCTAGAGCTTGCTACTGAAAGTGTTAGGAAGCGACAGCTCAAGAGAAACTAAGACTCATACCTGCTTCCGTGACATGGTACCAACCCACAGCATGACTTAAAGTGACAGGAGAAAATAAATGTGCTGGTGCTCAGGACTGCAGCAGCCAAACATGTACCACACAGGGGCTAACAAGTCCAGAAGAGCATACAGTGTGCGCAATATTTTATACCATTTCTTAAACATCAAATAGCTCTCATGCCAAATGAGACACTTTTATTTTAAGTCTTTGCAAAGAGTACAATCAGTTCTGCTCCTGCTTGGAAGACGGGAGTTTGCTCTGATAGAGCAGGGACAAGCTGAGGACAAGGCAAATGTGATGTTTGTGCAGGCACCGTCTCATACATGAGCAGCACTAGATGGATGCAGAAAACTGCACCCAATTGATCTAAACTACGCAGGAATACATGACACACACACACATACACATACACACACACACACACACACACACACACACGCGCGCGCGCGCGCGCCTCAGACAGCTGCACCTCAGTTCACCAGCCTGTTCTGAGCCGCGCTCACACACCTCTGGGATGAAAACTTCCCACCTGGTGTCAGAGAACTTCCTGCCACACTTGACAATGATTCAGGAGCTTCGAACCCCCCCAATGCCCATGAGTGAACTTCAGGTGTGTGGGGAGGTGAAGAGCCGTATTTACTGGAATAGATGTGTCCTAACAATTCCATGTATGCAAAACAGTGCTCCCACTTTCATTAGGTCCCTATGTTGTGTGTCACTGCAAAGTGTCTGAGTGCCTGACCCCTCAGTGCTTCATTCCATAAGCCCTGGAACACAGAGCAGAACTGGCTGCCTTTGGAGTTCAAATGTCTAGAGCAGGGGTGGGCAAACTTTTTGACTCGAGGGCCACAATGGGTTCTTAAACTGGACCGGAGGGCCGGAACAAAAGCATGGATGGAGTGTTTGTGTGAACTAATATAAATTCAAAGTAAACATCACTACATAAAAGGGTACGGTCTTTTTTCTTTTTCTTTTTTTTTTTTTAGTTTTATTCATTTCAAACGGGCCGGATCCAGCCCGCGGGCCGTAGTTTGCCCATGGCTGGTCTAGAGTCATCAGGGTGATTGGAGAAATCTAATCATATAGTGTCTCTGAATCACAAAACAGATTTAATGGCAATGCTTAGAATGAGAAAGTTTAATTTTTCACTCTAATTGTTTTAGCATTTTTTAAATTTCATATTTACAAAAGGAAAAGGAAGTAATGAAGAGTTCTTTTTAGTTTTAAAAGAAATAGTCCATTTTGTGAAGTGTGTATGTGCATTTGCGTATTGGGGATGAAGTTATAAATGTAACCTAAATTCATCCTGACAAAAAGTGCTAATGTTGCTTAATTGTCGGATACTTACAGTGAAGTGAAAACAGAAAGGAAGGGGAGAGGAGGGAAGGGGAGGAAAAGGGAAGGGAGGGCAGAGAAGGTGAGGAGAGGGGAGGGGAAGCGAGCAGAGGGGAGAGGACTAGAGGGGAGAGCAGAGAAGGTGGGGGAGGGGAGGGGAAGCTAGCAGATGGGAGAGGACTAGCGGGGAGCGCAGAGAAGGTGGGGGGGGGAGGGGAGGGGAGCTAGCCGAGGGGAGAGGAATAGCGGGGAGATCATAGAGGTGAGGAAGGGGAGGGGAAGCGAGCAGAGGGAGAGGAGAGGGTAAGGGGCAGAGAAAGTGAGAGAGGGGAGGGGACTAGAGGGGAGAGCAGAGAAGGTGGGGGGAGGGGAAGGGAAGCGAGCAGAGGGGAGAGGAATAGAGGGGAGGGCAGAGAAGGTGGGGAGGGGAAGGGAAGCGAGCAGAAGGGAGAGGAATAGAGGGGAGGGCAGAGAAGGTGAGGAGAGGGGAAGGAAGCGAGCAGAGGGGAGAGGACTAGAGGGGAGGGCAGAGAAGGTGAGGAGAGGGGAAGGGAAGCGAGCAGAGGGGAGAGGAATAGAGGGGAGGGCAGAGAAGGTGAGGAGAGGGGGAAGGGAAGCGAGCAGAGGGGAGAGGAATAGAGGGGAGGGCAGAGAAGGTGAGGAGAGGGGAAGGGAAGCGAGCAGAGGGGAGAGGACTAGAGGGGAGAGCAGAGAAGGTGGGGGGAGGGGAAGGGAAGCGAGCAGAGGGGAGAGGACTAGAGGGGAGAGCAGAGAAGGTGGGGGGAGGGGAAGGGAAGCGAGCAGAGGGGAGAGGACTAGAGGGGAGAGCAGAGAAGGTGGGGGGAGGGGAAGGGAAGGGAAGACAAGGGGAGTGGAGAAAGTGTACTCTCTTCACTGCCTAATGAGAAAATCATGCTTGGAAAAAAAATGGTGGAGTAGAAGAGTCTTAGTATTCACCAAAACACCATGAAGTTCTTCTAAGCTAGACATACATGTGGCATCTTTTATGGAAAAAGTAGAAGAGAAGAAAATATCAACACCAAGAGGTTTGAAACCGTCCATTCTGAAGCCCTGGAGTTCCGGCGCCCCTCCAGCTGACCCCCCAGCTCAGTGTGGGCGTGTACCAGGGAGTCCTGTCCCCTAGGGGCTAGGCTTCCCCAATAAACTGCTTTTAACTATTGCACGTCAGGCCCCATTTTGCCTACGGATAAAAAGTGTGTTGTTAACCCTGACATGTATTTCTGATCATAAGAGAGATAATGTTTAAATATCTACCTCAGATCAGTTTAATAGTTTGAAATAAATTGACTCAAAAATGTATATTCACGAAGAGAATGCTATTTCAGGAAGTTTATATTATGATATTAAAATAGTTTTATCATTGAAACATTTGCTGTTTTCCCCTTTTCACCTCCCACGTTATGAAGGATAAAGGCTTTATCATGCACTAATGATGCTTCGTTAACATCAAGCAATCGCGTAGTCTCAGTGAGCCACTGCTGTATAAATGCATTAGGAACAGAACAAAGCTATTGGTGTTATTAAAGTATTTTTTAATTCACTCAGTTATCAATGATTTTTTTCAGTTATTTCTGAATAATGGGATCTGGGAACAGCTTATGTTTTCTGTTTTGTTTTTTTGTTTTTGTTCAGTTTTCTATATAAAGGATGTGAGCTTTTATAGTCACAGAGAAAGGTTAATTTTTACATTTAAGTTTCATTTATTAAAATCCCATCAATCCTGCTTTAGCCATACAAAGATGAAGAAGGCAAGAATCCTCTTTCAAGCTCATTGGAGAGACAGGTCAATAAACCAGGCCATCCCAACGCAAGGACCATCCCTTTGGTATAGAACAGGTGTGCACCGGGCAGCAGTATCATGCAAACATGCAACAATGGAGACCCATGGCTTTGGAGCCAGAGGAAGCATGGTCCAATATGGGCTCTGCTGGTTGACCTCGGGACGTTGGTAGCCGCCCTACATTGCTCCACAGTCAGTCACAGGATCGGGTGAAATAATGTATGTACAGCTTTGACACAGTGCCTGCTCATACTAAGTCAGTGATGGAGAACCTATGACACGCGAACTCATTTTTTTGGTTGATTTTTCTTTGTTAAATGGCATTTAAATACATAAAATAAATATCAAAAATATACATCTTTGTTTTACTATGGTTGCAAATATCAAAAAATTTCTATATGTGACACGGCACCAGAGTTAAGTTAGGGTTTTTCAAAATGCTGACACGCCGAGCTCAAATGGTTCGCCATCACTGTACTAAGCGTTCAAAAATAGCACGTTTTTAAAATAGAGCGTAGAGAAGCATGGGGCAGGGCAGTGAGAACACACCTGGTGAACCAAGGATGACTGCAGGGGAGCCAGGTTCCCTGAGTGCCAGGGGTCACCCACGCCGGCTCACTGCCTTGGGACGCTGCAGGCCTATGGGGGGCATATACCCATCTGAGAGAAGCCTGCTGCCTTTGGGCAGAGAGTCTATTTTGAAGCTCCACAACCAACAAGATCAGACAACTCTCTCAGGAGGAATGCGCTGGCCAAGTTCTGCCCCAGGAAGTTCTCAGAGGCAGGCCTTAGGAAAGGCCCTCCTTCCTCGGAACCTAACTTTGCAATGTTCCCACTGGAGTCCAATGGGAGTTTTACGGGACTCAAGAATAGAATTAGGTCCTGTGTATTTTTAAAGGGTCATTCAAAAAGGCTAAGTCTAAATGATTTACAGATGGCGGAGCGAGGCCTGATGCACTTGTCCAGAACGGACCTTTTATGTTCTCCAGAAGCACGTGTTTACAGAAAGAACACTCCACCATACCACCAATGGGGGGAAGTCCTGCGGGCTTACATTGGACAACTGGGTACACACATCGCTGCCGAACACAGTTCTAAAAGTTAGTAAGAGTATTTTCCATGCTACCTGCTTTCAACCTTCCCTCAAATTTTGCCCTGCAAAACACTAACATGTTTCTGCGTAAAAATAGCATTTTAGGTGAGAATAGGCCTGGGCAAGCACATGCATATGAAGAACCTCCCCGTTTGCTTTAGTCTCTACTGCACCGCCATGGTGGCAGGCAAGGTGAGGTCGACTGATTTGGCCAGGCCTTCTGGTCAGTAATTTCCGAACTGATTTTACTTCTTAAAGCAGTGGTCAGCAAACTCATTAGTCAACAGAGCCAAATATCAACAGTACAACGATTGAAATTTCTTTTGAGAGCCACATTTTTTAAACTTAAACTATATAGGTAGGTACATTGTTATTAACTTAATTAGGGTGCTCCTAAGGCTTAGGAAGAGCTACACTCAAGGGGCCAAAGAGCCGCAGTTTGCCGACCACGGTCTTAGAGAATGGAACTCCTTTCAAAATTCCTTCAAAACACAACTCACTTTTCCAAAGAGGAGAAGGGATTTCAGAAACTTCTATGCTCTTTTCAACATTAAATAACTCTTTTAAAAAAACAAATTTGAGGAGTTTAATAAAATAAGTTAGAAATACTAAAATCCATTCAAAATGGAGGTGAAAAATTAAGGTAAAGGTGATTTGCCACAATATATATCCAGTTTAATGAATTCAAAAAGTTTGGGGAGGGTGTTCACTCGGGCGGCACACACACTAAAATTGGAATGATTTGAAGATTAGCATGTCCCCTGCCCAAGGCTGACACACAGATTCATGAAGTGCTCCATACTTCATGTTTTTAAAAACATGTTAATAGTTTCAAGAATGCTACTTACATCCTACTTGAGAAGAGTTTTGCTTCCCCCTCCCCACCCCTACCTCACCCCCAAGAAATGAATGTGAAATCCATTCTGTAATGCATTTAGAAAAGTGCCCAGAAACACAAGTGATTGTTAGATAGTTGTTCATAAAAATAAAAATAAAAAGTTTAGGGTTAAAGATTGAAATTGTGAACTCAATTAATCATCCCCATAATAGCCATAGTTTAGGACTTCCTTATCTTCTTACATATTAAGTGGGTTTCAAGTACTCTTTTAACATGTAGATTTTAAAAAAACATTTTGTTCCATAGCTGGTCCCCAGAAAATAAGAAATAACCCCCATTTCTTTCTCAGGAGACAATAGACATAGTAGCTGTGCAATAAGACAACACTTAAAGTTACCTTGTGTATACAGAGTGATTTTGGCATGTAACCTAAATTCTGTTTTCTGTTACGAATTGTAGAAGTCTACACATTTTTTTAAAAAAAAAACAACACAAATAAGAACAAATGGGCAAAAAAAAGAATAAATGGGGAACTTGAATTGTAAAATAATACCCACACTTTGGGGAAACTTTTGGCAGTTTCTTATAAAGTTAAATATACTCCCTTTTTTTTTCTCACCCAGCAATTCCACCTCTAGATATTTACCAAAAATAAAAAAAACATATCTACAAAAACATTTTCACAAGAATGTTACAGAAGCTTTACTCACCAGTGGCAAAAACTGCAAACTCAAATTTCATCAAGAGGAAAATGGGCAAATTTTAGTACATTCAGGCAGCAGAATACTACTCAGCAATAAAAAATATTTATATGCACAACATGAATAAAGCTAAGAGACATTATGCTGTGCAAAAAAATAAAAGCTAAACACAGAGGGGCACACAATTCCACTTAACTATTTAAATATTAGGCAAAACAAAATCATCAGTTTCAGAAGTCAGAGGAATGATTGCAGCTGGGTGGCGGAGAGGATTAACTGGGAAGGACAGGAGGGTATTGCTGGGGTGATGACAGTGTGCTTAGGGGTGGAGGTTACACAGCTGGCTACCTGCATTTGTCAAAAGTCATCAAGCCGTACCCTAGAGTCTGTGCACTTCACTGTAGATTATTTCTACCTCAAAAAAAGAATAAATGTGTAAATATATATTTTTAAATATACATTTTTATTGAATTTAGAGAGGAAGGGCAAGGGAGAGAGAGGTAGAAACATCAATGATGAGAGAGAAACATTGATTGGCTGCCTCTTGCACGCCCCCTACTGGGGATTGAGCCCGCAACCGGGGCATGCGCCCTTGACTTGAATGGAACCTGGGACCCTTCAGTCCACAGGCCAACACTCTATCCACTGAGCCAAACAGCGAGGGCGAATAAATGTATATATTTTTAAAGATTTTTTTACATATGTCATGCACATAAACCAAAGGAAGTCTGGCTTCTTTTATGCGCCTTCCCATATTGCTACCTATGAACTTGAGTGGTTTTGGAAACTCAGTGAATATATTTAATTTTGCCAGTGTGCCTCATTTTTCTAACTGGCCTATTTTCCAGAAGGCACGAGCTTGTCGTTTCTTTATTTAAATTGTTGGTAATACAGCACATGAATCGCCATTCAACACAGCAATGCCACCAGAGCCTCGTCTAGAAGGAACAGGTGGGACCACTTCCATTTTTTTCCTTCTGACTTTGAGAATAAATCCCCCCCAAATGACACCTTTCCCTTTCAAACACTTTAGTTGTATATTTTATAACTTTTACATATGTCATTTTTACATGACAGTCACAGCTCCCACCTGGAGTTTTGCAACACTGTCCGCATGTTACCTTTTTTTTTTTTAGAATATGCATGTTTTATTCTGAATAATTTTGCATAATAAAAATGAAAGTACAAAATAATTAACACCAAATACTTTAACAAGCTGAAATGAATCACGAAAGAAAAAAAAAAAAGCAGAAATGTAATTCATGGGCAGTCTCCAAAAGTCATAAAAGTTCAAAAACATTCTCCCAGTTTCACTAATAGAAAGACACGAAGGTCAAAATCTAAATCCCAATACCAAATGTCTAATAATTCACTGTCTATTCCCTTCCTGTGGTCGGCAAACTGCGGCTCGCGAGCCACATGTGGCTCTTTGGCCCCTTGAGTGTGGCTCTTCCTAAGCCTTAGGAGTACCCTAATTAAGTTAATAACAATGTACCTACCTATATAGTTTAAGTTTAAAAAATTTGGCTCTCAAAAGAAATTTCAATCGTTGTACTGTTGATATTTGGCTCTGTTGACTAATGAGTTTGCCGACCACTGCCTTAGGCCATTAATATTGATGTTGGTGGTAGCCAGATTCAACAAGTGAAGTTTAAAAAATCATGCAAATAGTTTAATCATCACAGAGATTATAACTAACCAGCTGAGAAACTTCAAGAACCTTGAGCTTTCTATTAGACATTTCAAAAACAACAGACCTTTCTTATTGCTTTGCATAATCATTCATTTGTTCATTTGATCCACAAGTATTTATTGGTGTACATTTACTATGTACCAGAAGGATGCCAAGAATACAAAATGGGGAAAGCATAGACTCTTCAACAAATGGTGCTGGGAAAAACTGAATACCACATGAAAAAGAATGAAATTTAACCCTTATCTTCTACCATATTCAAAAATCAACTCAAAATGGGTTAAAGACTTAAGCATAAGACCAAAACTCTAAAACTCCTAGAAGAAAATATACAGGAACAGTCCCATGACATTCGCCATGGAAATGATTTCTTGGATGTGACACCAAAAGCAACAGGCAACAAGAACAAAACTTAATAAGTGAGACTGCATTAAACTAAAAAGCTTCTGCACAGCAGAGGAGATAATCAACAGAGTACATCTCATTTTAAATGTTGTTTCTACAATAATTTTTTAAATGAGATGCTAATTACACTATTGAATTTTAAGATACATGATGCTTTGACATATATTATTTGGACATGTACAGCAGCATCAAATAATTATTTTGTGAAAAAAAAAACTGCAATTTAAGACCTAGGGTCTGAGATAAGAATGTGTCACTACTTATTGCTAATAATATAGGAGTACTTCTTTGCACTATGAATTCCTGTTAGAATTTGAGACTAAGCACTGATTCAAAACAATATGTTCATTTCAGTGTTATTTACAATAGTTAAGATGTGGAAGCAGCCCAAGTGCCTATCAGTAGATGAGTGGATAAAAAACAAAAACAAAAAATCCATGGTACATTTACACAAAGGAATGCTACTCGGCTGTAAAAAAGGAAATTTTACCTTTTGCAACAGCATAGATGGACCTGGAGAGTATTATTCTAAGTGAAATAAACCAGTCAGAGAAAGACAACTATCATATAATTTCACTTATATGTGGAATCTAGCGAACAAAATAAACTGATGAACAAAATAGAAACAGACTCATGGATATAGAGAATGGACTGACAGCTGTTAGAGGAAAGGGGGTTCAGGGGCCCGGGGGGAAAAGGTGAAGGGATTACGCAGTACAAACTGATAGTTGCAGAATAGCCACCAAGATGCGGTGTGCAGCGTGGGAATACAGTCAATAATGTCCAGATGACTGGGTGCGGGGTCAGGCAGGTGCTTGGGGCAGCAGGGAACCAGTCTGTAAAGTCAGAAACTGGTGCAGAATGGCATTCAATATCAGCTGACTTTGAAAAATAAAAAAACACTCAAATAAATAAATACATAAATAATAAAATAAAACAAAACCAAGTAAGCACAAATAATTCAGAAAGGTAAAACTGTACTGAAAATTACAGTTATATTAATGTTAGCCATAATTTTCTATGAATGGCAAGACTGTTATTTTCATCTTTGAGTTTTTCTGAATTCTCCAAAATCCCCATAAGGGGTGGGTGGATATTGCTTTTGTAATAAAATAGAGAAAATATCTTATAAAATAACAATATCAATGAGACCAAAAGGGCGGAAAGGCGTTGAATTGCTAAGTATGACAACAAGTCAACATGAGACCGATGGGACACAGCATTTACTCTTCATGAATGCTGACAGCACCCACCCATCGCTGCGCACACAGCTGTCAGCGAACTTCCATGAGGCCTCTCCAAAGGCAAACGCGGTTGGTCAGCAAGCTCTCTGCAAACAGTCATCAGCTTCAACGCTGGATGTTTACACAACGCGCATCAAGTTCATCTCCACCAGGCACAGATTCTAAGCACAATGTTTATTGGAAACACCACATTGTGGATCAACAATTCTTAAAGGATATTTTAATCAAACTGACAAAGAATGATTGAAAAAAGCCAAAAAGTGTGTGGAAGGAATGGAGACGTCTGTGGTCAAAAAGACTACATTTTGCTCAACTGCTAACTTTGTATCACTTCCAATGGAAAAATGCGATAAAGACAAAAACTTTTGAGGACACATATGTAATACCTTAATCAATAAAGAAATTAAGAAAAAAAGACAAACTTTTTATTCTAATGGAGAGAAAAAAAGGAAAAAGATTCTGGTAACTACTATAAGGCTGGCTGGCTGAACATTGTATAAGAATATACTTTGCTTTATAGGTCTTTTGTGCAGAACCATTATAATATACTCTGTGACAATTGAGCATTAATGAACCTAAATTTGGGGGTTGGGTCTTTTATATCAACAGCAAAACAACAACAATAAAACAAGTCATTAAAAAAAAAACCTTCCCAAGAATTGATCCTGTTCCAAGACCTATTCAATTACAGGACTCTTAAGAGCTGAGAATGTTTTCAGATAAAAAACAAAACAAACTATTCTACTTCACCCCCAAATTATAGAGCGTCTGAAAAGAGAATTACCAACAACAGGGGAAATGAATAGAACTCACTTGAATGCTAGTGGAGCATTCAAAACATAAGTTACATGGTTCTGTTAAGCTGGGTGTGTGGACTCAGATGTGAACCAGGACTTGAATCAGAGGGTGGAAGTCAGCTAGACTA